CTCTTTCCCAAAGGGGCCCACGAGCCCCTGGCTTCGTTTTTCCACAGCTCCGGGTCAGAAGTCCCAGAGCCCTCCCCGCCGCAGCTGCCCATAAGCTCTCCCCATCTGATGTGTCAGACAGAGGCTGTGGTCTTCACAGTGTGGCAGGCTCCAAAAGCAAGGCTTCTTTGTCAAGTCTAGCATTCGGCAGGGCTCCAGGCCTGTCCTGACCTAGGAGTGGTCCAAGGCTGGGATGAGGCCTGCTGCATCTGTGGGCGTTTCTGTCTCTCTTCTGGAGCAGGGCTGCTGGGCTGGGCACAACCCCGCCTTTGGATTAGGTGAAAGCTCCCCCCCCCCCCCCCAGCACACATGCTTCCCCCCACCACCACCACCTTGGGGCCCAGTGCTGTGCGTTGTGCCAGTCTCTTCCTCCCCCACTCCATTCCCAGCCTTGGGTTATCTGTAAAGCTCTAACTGCCCTTGGCCCTGGACAGTCCCCATTTTCCCTGGCATCTGCCTTCTCCATCCTGCACCTCCTGGTGCCACATCTTCCCCACCTGCCCGGGCTCACGTCTTGGCTGCCCAGGGAGTTGGCCATCTCTCTGGTTCCTTTGTGTGCCCACAAACACCTGTTCTCTCCTCTCCCCCCCCCTCCCGCCGCCGCCCTTCCGCCTCAGTGAGCTGGGGGCTGCTGGGGCAATCCTGATTCTGGCTGCTGTGTTGCCCAGAAGAATGCAGTTGGCACCTCTGCCCACGTGAGGTTTTGCGCAGTGGCTGTGCTCCGAGTGTTGTGCTTGCTGTTCTTCATACTCCAGCTGTGAGAATAAATTATTTACCAAAAGGATTGTCCATCTTTTCTGCCCTAGGGACAGAACGCCATCCCTGCCAAGCGGGTGAGAGACCCACTGCTAGAACCTTTCCTGGGAGGGAAGTGCTTTGGACTCTTTGGGCAATGCTGAGAAGAAAAACGCAGATCTTCCGCTTACAGAACAAACCCCCCCAGACAGCAGTGCGGGTAGGAGCAGCCAGCCTGCAGGCAGAGTGGGATGGAGATCTTGGAGTATGTGCTTCGATACCCAGCAGATGACTCCATATGGGAGAGGTACACCGAAATGGCCGTCTGGATGTCCGAGCTCTGGGAAGCCTGGTGTGTACATGGGTGCTGAGAACAGAGAGCTCTGTCCAGATTGGCACCTCTGTAAATTGGCCAGCCTGTTTCCAGGACACACCAGCACAATGGAGAATACAACTTTCTCTCACCTCTGCCCCATAACCCAGGCCATAAAGGAAAGTAGTACAGAGAGCTCTACTCAGTTCCCACAGTGCCCTTGATTTTACACCCTCTTAGGTGATGGGGAAGCGGGGGTGGAAAGCAGCCACCGCCCCAAGACATCACGTGCCCCGCAACTGGCCTTCCGCTGTGCACTCCTCGGCTGGGGGTGTGGTCTGGGAAACGCACAAGCGTGCCACGTGCTCTCTGAATGCAGAAGCAGAAGCTAAGGCACCTGCCTCCAAACCTAGCGTGCATAGAAGATGCGCTTCTGTGGCTTGCATCGCAAGTACAGGAGTCCGTGTGGGCTTGGTGGACTCTCCTGCTTGCTTCCAGCCTGCTGCCTTTATGTTTTGGGCTTGCACAGCTTTCTTTTCTCCCATAATTAGGGTGTTGAAAGATACCTGGTGCCGAGGCTATAGACACACAGTGGTTCGGAGACATTCTCTCTGGCCTATGCGGATTGTAAATATATTTTTAAAAATGGCATGGGGAAAGAGGGTGGATCCCCCCTTGCCCTGGGTGTTTTTTTTTTTTTTGTGGGGGGTAGAATGCAGGGGGTGGCAGTTCTGGCTTGGGGGGGAGAGGCCAGCAAGCCCCCAGTCTGCCTTTGGGGGGGGTGTCTCATTGAGCAGGGAGGTGTCTGTCGGAGCCTGCGCACAAAGTTAGGCAAAGTGCACAGAAGTGTGGCACGGGGGAGTGGGGGGGGGCTGGGTGAGAGCTCGTTTGGATCCCTGCCCTGTCACGGAAGCTCTCTGGGCCAGTCGCACAGCTTCAGCTGAGCCTACCTTACAGGGTTGTTGGGAGGATAAAATGGAGTGGATGTTGAAAAAGCCCCTTTGGGTTCCCACTCGGGAGAAAAGTAGGGGAGTATAAATGAAGTTGGGAACAGAGTGCCAGACTTGACGGGCCTTTGCTCTGATCCGGCTTGACCCTTCTTAAATTCTTTCAGTTAATAATAAGTAGGCCCAGTTGGTGTGGCCTCCGTCAACGAGCAAAGAGAAGTTTGACCTCTGTTTCCCCCAGCATGGATTCCTGAGTCTTGGGGGAGGCCCAGCGGTGGGTTTGTGAGTTTGCCAAAAGCAGCAGCTCCCACCATCTCTGCCCCAGCTCATCTCCACCGGGAAGAGCAGCCAGAGCCATCTCCCTGCGCCCAACTGCCAGTCAGTTGCCGGGGGGTGGGGAGGGTGCCAGGCCTTGAGGCTAGGCTGTGAGCCTTCATGTTACTCTGAACGGATGCTGGTTCAAGTCTCCTGTCACCTACGAGCTCCCTTTGGGCCCTTGTTGAAGTGTTTCACACTTCCATCCAAGCCTACCTTACAGGGCAGGTGGGAGGATAGAGTGGGGGAACCGTGAGAAGCATTCCTCAGAAGCATGGCATTTAAAATACGTAGTCCTTTGCTCCCCTCTGCTTGATGTAGCAGTTAGAATGCCCGACTAGGGTCTGGTAGACCGAGGTTTGAATCCCCCCTCTGCCATGTAAGCTCTCTGGGTGACCTTAAGCAAGTCACTTACTATGCTTCTAACCTACCTCACAGGGGAGGGGAGATGTTGTATATGGCTTTGGGTCCTGACTGGGGAGAAAAGCAGAGTATACACCTCTGAAGTAGAGTTTTCCTTCGTACCTTTGCCAATAAGGTAGGGGCACTTCAGGCCCCCTCCCCAGACTCTATGAATAAATATATTGGTGGCCTGACTGAGAGGAGCAGAAAGTCTTGAATAGGAGAGACCATAACTGGTATATCCTATATATATAATTCTCCTACATATTGGCCATTTCCAGCTCTCCCATTGGCTGTGCAGTGCATTCCATCAGCCATTGTCCCATCAACCGCCACTCGAGTACTCGCGTGCCATTGGCTGGGGGCTGGGTCTGCTCCTCTCCCCCACCCACTGCCAGCCTGGACACTCTTCCCTCACAGAATAAACTATCAAAATGGCTGTCTCTCCTGACGAAGCCACTTCTCCTTCTTGGCTCCTGTGGGACTAACTTCTCCCTCAGTGGCTGTTGCTAGGCAACCAAGCTTGGTTCTGTCAGTAAAAAGGCCAAGGAAGGAAGCCCTTTCCAGGCCTTTGTGAGGAGCTCATTGGGGCCAGTCCTGACTAGGGTTGGCAGCTCCGGGCTGGGAAATTCCTGGATATTCTGTGGTGGAGTCTAAGGAAGCCAGAGTTTGGAGAGGGGAGAGGCCTCAGTTGAATAGAATACCATAGAGCCCACCCTTCAAAGCGGTTATCTTTGCCAGGGGGGGAGGGATCTGTTGTCTGGAGTTCAGTCGTTATACCCGGCGACCTTCAGGCTCCACCTGGAGGTTGGCTACCCTAGGCGTAGCAGTTAGCGCTTCAGAGCAGGGTCTGCTAGACCCAGGTTCTTGCTGTGGAAGTTGAGTGGGTGATTTCAGACCAGTCACAGACTTTCAGCCTAACCTACCTCAGAGGGTTGTTGTGCAGATCAAAAGGGGGAGAGGAGAATGATGTAAGCTGCTTTGGTCTCCACTGCAGAGAAAGACTATACTTTTCTTCCTGGGGAACCATTGCTGCCAATCTCCAGGTGAGGGCTGGAGATCACTCAGAATTAAAACTGCTCTCCAGATGGTAGAGATCAGGGGCAGATAACAGTAGGTTGATGGTTAGCTGGAAAGGAGATAGGGTTGCCGACTCCAGGTTGGGAAATTCCTGGATATTTGAGGGGTATCAGACAGGTACAATGCCATAGACTCCACTCTCCAAACCAACGATTTTCTCCTGAGGGACCATTGCTGCTAATCTCCAGGTGAGGGCTGGAGATCACTCAAAATTACAACTGTTCTCCAGATGGTAGAGATCAGTTCCCCTGAAGAAAACAGCTGCTTAGCAGGGTGGATTCTGAGAAAATAGTAAGCTCTTTGTCATTAAACCCTGCTGAGGTCGCCATAGCAAATTGACACTGAGAACCCAAGGCTGGGGCACCCGCCCAGAACCTCTTTCTAGAGCTCGTTGTATTTATTTCCTCAACAGGCCTTATTCCTAGTTATCTTATAAATCAGTAAATGCAAGACAAGGAAGGAGGAATTTCACATATCAATTTGTATATCTGTCAGGTCTTTGGTGTCAGGCCAGGTGCATGTATTGTGCAAATATCACACACACACACCCATGCGCAGAGCTTGGATGGGCAAGTGGAGAATTTGGCAGTGGGAATGACTGGGGAAGTGGAGAATCTCCCTGGATTGAAGGGCCCCCCACCCACATTCTCCAGAGCAGTGTGGCTTTTCAGCATCCACCTTCAAGGCAAACTTAAACAGAGTGAACCCCCCCCCCCTTTCCTGGGTTTTCTTTCTGCAGTCTGGCAGCGTGTCTGGGGCACACTGTGTCTGGCAGAGGATTCTGGGGCACATTCTAAGGTGCCTAGTCTGTTGGTTTAGGGAACTGGCTGGATTTGGTGGAGCTCTCAGTTTCCCCAGTTGAGCATGGAGAAGGGTTTCACCCGTGGGTTTCAAAGAAATATCAGTTTGGACTACAGAACAGTAGGCTGTTTGTTGCAAAAACCTCCCCCCCCCCCAGTACTGCTATTGTCAGTGAGAAATCCCATTTTAAAAATTCTTTTACACATTTTTAAATGTTGGTATTCTCCCAAGAAGCTTAGGGTGGCATACAAAGAATTTTCACCCACTTTATTCTCACACCAGCCCTTTGAGGTATGACAGGCTGACTGCCCACCGCCACCCTTTTTTGGCTGAGTGGGATTTGATCCTGTTGCTTGTTTGATAGCAGAAACCCTGTGAGGTAGCAGGGCAGCCCAGCCATTGAGCTGTGCCACAAGGTTTCTATCCAGCATTGAACAGGCAGGCTTTCTAGACTGACACTTTCATGAAGACTCCCCAAGAGATGTAGACAAAGTGGAAATAACTTATTTTTATTTAATTCTTCCTGTGACGATGGTGGCTTGTCAGCATGAGAGGTCCCTGCCCGTTGCCAGAGGCAACACGGCCTTCTTGGCTCAGCTCCTGCATGCCGCTGAGACTCTGAGGAAAGGGTAGGAGGGCTTGCAAAGTACCCACCCACCCCACCCAGCAGCAGCAAAGGTATGGTTGGTCTACTTGGCAAGTCAAGGAAATGTCTGTTGTCTCTTGGAGGGGGACCCGCTATGACTGAGATCACGGGTCTCCGAGCAGCAAGGAAAGGTTGGTTTGGCTTTAGTCCGAGTTTATGGAGGTATATCGCATGGCTGAGGTGTAAGAGAGAAGCCAGCTGGGGAGAGAAAGGCCAAGGATGGGGATCCCTCCCCACCTCATTCCTCCAGACCACCTGTACAACTCCCACTGAACTGGCTGTGGCCCCTCCCCCCAGCATCTTCTGAGAACTTTGGCTTCTTGCACTGTAGGAAAGGAAGGGACGATGGGTGCCTTCCCTTCCCCTCACCTCCCAAGGCAATTCCAAACCATGATGGAGGGGCACCAAGCGATCAAAAGGATAACCTCTCCAGCGGAAGCACATTCCACCGGGGGCTCGTTTGGTAGCGGGAGGGACGGAGGGGAGACGTCCCCCCCTTGGCTTCTCGTGTCCCGGGGACCAAAACGAGTGTCAGTCGGCGTGGGGGGCCTCGCTCTGCTTCAACTGCAGGGCCCTGGGCAGCTTGGGCTTGATGAAAAAGGTTCTCAGCAATAAGTCACGGACGGTGTGGGGCAAGTAGTGGTGGACAAAGTACATCGGCCCGAGGCCCCTGCCGGGGTAGTATTTCGCGAGAGGCTGAGGGGAGAGGAGGCCTTCGGCTATGCTGTCCACCACGGGGCTGAGGTCCTCGACAGCTGTCTTCATGAAAATGACAAACTGCTTGTTGATCTCCTCGATGTATTCTTCCCCGTAGTCCTCCAGCAGGTCAGGAGGTAGAGCCGCGAGCAGCTGATGTTTCTTTCCCTTCCAGAACTCGGGATCGCAAGTACTTCCTGCAGAGAACAGGGGAGAGGGGAGACTCCTTTAGATGCTCTGTTGCCGAGCTTGTGTGATGGCTGTGCTTGACATGGAATCTGGAGCCTGCTGCAAGAATCAGCCTCGTGTATTTTTAAGTCCCATTTTTATGCAAGTTCCTAGCCCTTATGATAGCGGGCAGAAGCTCTGGCAGTGAGCCAAGAGGGTGTCATTGGCTCTTATTTGTTCCCATCAGACAGATCATGCAAACAGAAGAAGCAGATCTGAGGCATTTGCCTAATATTACCAGGACAAAAGATTAACTAGGAGCTAGGAACGATTCACAAGCCACACTGTGGAGAAGGCCCAGTGGTCTTGCCACACAATCAACACTCAAGGAATGTGGCTAAAGAACTAACAGCAGGAGAGCCAGTTTGGTGTAGTGATTAGAAGTGCAGACTCTAATCTGGGAGAACCGGGTTTGATTCCCCACTCCTCCACATGCAGCTGCTGGTGTGACCTTGGGACAGTCATAAGTTCTTTCAGAGCTGTTCTCTCAAGGGCAGTTCTCAAGAAAGATCCCTCAGCCCCACCTACCTCACAGGGTGTCTGTTGTGGGGAAGGGAAAGGGATTAACCTACTCTGAGACTCCTTCGGGTAGTAAAGGGTGGGGTATAAATCAATCTCTTCTTCTTCCTCACTGTTTCTAAAAGCAGGCGTGACGTAGTAGAGAAGCAGAACTGGAAGGCTGTGGGTTCAAATCTCACCTCTGCTAGGAGCTCCCCTCCTTCCCTCACTACAAAGATGAGGATACTTGCAGAACTGGCATAAAGATTACCACAAAAAAATAGGGGCTGGGCATAGTTTGGATGCTGGGGAGTATCCTTTCTCTATTGTCCTTGTGAACAGATGGGGGTGGTATTTGCCCATTTAGAGAAGTGCTGGAAGGCCGCAGAGCCAGCGTCTCATCTGGTGGGGTCTGCATTTCTAGGAAACAAGTGAAGGCCAGATGGGTAGGTCCCCCCCGGCCACGGGTGGTGGATGGGGGTAGGGTTGCCAGATCCAGCTTGGGAAACTCCTGGAGGTTTGGGGATGGAGCCTGCGGAGGACAGGGAGGGGACCTCAGTGGGGGGTCCAAGGCCACAGAGAGTCCGCCCTCCAGAGCAGCACCCGTTTTCTCCAGGGGAACTGGTCTCTGTAGTTTGGAGATGATGTATAATTCCAGGGGGAAACCCCCCCCCCCCAGGTCCCATCTGGAGGCTGTGGAAACTCGAGCTGCAGTGTTAGAAGAGTCAAACAACAAATATATACACTGCAAAAACCTTTTTTATAAGTTAAAGTGTTCTATATGTTCCATCTTATAAAGTGCATTGTGTATTATTCATAATATTCTAAAACAGGTATATATTCATTACATGCAATACCAACAATAATAATCAGTTTGTACAATCTAATAACTACCAGTCATTGTGTAAAAAGGATGTAAATTGACTGGTAGCTATTGGATTGTACAAACTGATTATTATTGTTGGTATTGCATGTAATGAATATATACCTGTTTTAGAATATTATGAATAATACACAATGCACTTTATAAGATGGAACATATAGAACACTTTAACTTATAAAAAAGGTTTTTGCAGTGTATATATTTGTTGTTTGACCCCTCTGGAGGCTGGCATCCCTCGGGGAAGGGGAAACTTTCCCAGGCTCTTGTTAAACATAAACACCGGTGCAGACTTCTTGGGCGGGGGAGGGTAGAGAAATGCTTTCTTGTCCCTGTTTCCCCAGGCCCACATGGTCCTGATCTTACCCGTTTTGAAATACCCAGGAAAGACGACGCTCACTTTGATGCCCCAGGGTGCAAGTTCACTCTGGAAGGTATCCATGAGGAGGCTAAGTGCAGCTTTGGAGGTCCCATAGGCCGCTAAGCAGGGGAATGGCAAATTACCTGTGGGAAAAGAGAATGGGGGAGGGTTGCAATCAGGCAAAAGTGTTGGGGGAACACACAGCACCATATGCCAAAGAGCATCTAGTCCTAATGTAATAGGAAGTCATAGCTGTTGCGCAAAATACAAGTCCAGAGGGCTCCTTTTAACGACTAGCAGTATTTATTCAAGCATAAGCCTTCACGAGCCAGTTCTCACTTCCTCAGATGCAATGAAAGAAAGAAAATAATTTCGCTCATTTTTATGTCCTCCCCCTTCTGTAATTCTCTGCATAAAAATGAGGAAAATGGTTTTCTTTCTTTCATTGCATCTGAGGAAGTGAGCTCTGACTCACAAAAGCTCATGCTAAAATAAATACCCTTAGTCTTTAGGGTGTTTCCAGGTTTCTATTTTGTTTTATTCTTATTTCAAACTGACTCCAAATTTCTGGGAAAACAAATGCCATCCTTTGTTAGTAGGAATGGAGAGGAAACATCCCTGCCACCCTGTCCATCTCTAGACACCCTATTTATGACATCTGTCCACTTTCATCATGGAAAACTTTGGTATCGAGTTCAAGAGCCTCTGAGGAGTCCCATTCTTACCTGCTGGGCTGCTGACTGTCACTATCCTCCCTTGTGATGCACGTAACAAAGGCAACAGGCCTTTGGTCAGCTCCAAGGCCCCAAAGAAGTTCACCTCCATGCAAGCACGGAAGTTGTGTAGCGGAGTCAGGTCAGCGTCAGCAATGACATCGTTGAATCCGGCGTTATTCACCAGGCCCCAGAGCCCTGTGTTCCAGGAGAGAAGGGGACAAAGATGGAAATGTGAAGCTCCTCCACTGCCCTTGAGGGTGCAGGCTGCATGAGTCAGACCACTGGCCTATGCAAGCCTCTCTTGTCTGATCTGACTGGCAGCGGTTCTCCAAGGTCTCAGGCAGAGGACTTCCCCATCACCTCCTACCTGATCCTTTCAACTGGAGATGCCTGGAGATTCAGGCAAGGGGATCTCCTGCATGCAAGGTATGTGGTCCTTGGGAATTGTGGCTAGTTAGTGCTCACCTTGGTGTGGCTAAATCAGGGAAATGATTGTTGCTACTGCTTCACAGGGAAACCAAAAATGTCCTCTTCTGATGACAGTGTTTGCCCCTATGTAGCAGGTGTGTATGTGCCAGCAAGATGTGGGGAGGAACTCTCACCTCAGTGGTACAGCATGGGTTTTACACCCCCATTTCAAGGTAATTAGAGGTACCAGGCCTATATTTGGTGCCACAGGAATTGAGCTAGTATTTCCCTTCGGCTTATTCCCCATCACCTGAAGAAGAAGAGAAGAGATGGGATTTATACCCCGCCCTTCACTTGGAGTCTCAGAGCGGCTTACAAACTCCTTTCCCTTCCCCTCCCCACAACAGACACCCTGTGAGGTGGGTGGGGCTGAGAGCACTCTGACACAAACTGCTCTTTTTCAAGGACAGCTGTGCCAGAGCTTGTGACTGACCCAAGGGCACATCAGCAGGTGCAAGTGGAGGAGTGGGGACTCAAACCCGGTTCTCGCAGATTAGAGTCCGCACACTTAACCACTACACCAAACTGGCTCTGTGATCTGTGTGCAAAGTGATGCTGATGCGGAAACGGTGTGCAAGAAGATCGGGAGTTAGGTGCAGGGAGTCAAAGCGGCAGGCCTAAGGGTGCCCATTCAGTCAGGGTTCTGTCATCTGGTGAAAGCCCCCATTTCCATGGCGGTGTGCGTACATGCATGTTTCCAACAACAGTTCAACATGAAATGGAATAGCCACTTCACAACACTGCCTAAAGCTACAGCCGTGTTGGTGTATTCCACTATGTTTAAAGGTACAAAAATGCACTCTTCGAATTTCAGGGGAAAAATTTGCTCCATCCGAGGTCTCACATTCAGAGTGCCACTATCCATATCCTAAGCGCAAGGGCACCCCTGAAGGTGTGCTGTGCAGGGTGCCCATTGAGCAGAACTGGTACTAACACATGCACGTGTATTCTGACTCTAACCTATAGCTTGTTCACAGTTTGTGTTTTGTAATTTTGTAACAGCCAATGGCTAACTACAATAAACTAAACTGAAACTGATACTAACATTAAGCTTCTGATGCTCAAAGAGCATAGTCACCAAAATTCACTCCAAATGTAAATTGCCACCGTCCTGTTTTTAAGCTCTTTGCTTTACAGATGCCTACCAATAACTTCATAATCTGAGACGCGGGGAAAGGCCAGATTCAGTCCCTGACTTCAAAAGAAAAGGATCTGATCATCCTTCCCCTCTTTCCCCTGTTCTAGTCTGCCTCCAAGCATGCCAGGGTGAGCACAGAGGGTTTACCTGCTCTCTCAGTCTGAGCCTTGATAAAGTGCAGGGCTTTCTGGATGTCCTCAGGTTTGGTCAGGTCCATTTCCAGCAGGGTCAGCTGGGAGGAGCAGCTCTGCCGCAGCTCTTTTGCCCCTGGGCCGTTCAAGTCCAGCACGCTGGCGTAGACCTTAAGTCCCAGGGAGTCCAGGTGAGCGGCCGTCTCTTTTCCAAAGCCAGAATCACACCCTAGAAAACAAGGAACGGAGGAGCCTGCTGAGGAAAAAGGGGGAAACCAGCCAGAACCGCTGACGGGGTAGACGACTGATTTTCCCTCCGCCTCGTCAGGAACTGAGAAAGAAGAGTAATATATTACACAGGGTTGTTTAAGGATAAGAACATTTTAAAGGTCTTGATCCAGCACTGTTGTGCCCCACTTGAACTTAAAGGGGAGTATAAAAATGCTTGATTTAGGCTGGATTGTACTCAGAAGTTACACTGCAAAATAAGTATGCAGAATAAATGACAGGTTTAGATACCGCAGATACTGTTGTTATATATGGTTGCAAAAGAGACAGAAAATGTATTTGTCCAAAGTCATCACAATTTCCAGTGCATTCTGGGGTTTCTGCCAATTACAGAAAAGAAGAGTTTAAATCAACACCAGCACCCAAAGTTTAGAAAGAATCTGATTCTCTGTGTCATACAAATTCGACTCTCCAGTTGTATCATTTTTAGGTTTTTTTTAAAAAAAATCTTTGTTTATAATGGCCAAGACATTATTACACACACACACACACACACACACACACACACTCAATACATATAAATAAAGATGTAAAATTAAGATCTCACCCCAGACCAGTTGATCAGGAAACAGTATTCAAGTGTTTATATACTTGTCTATTACTGCAATTATATTCTACAATTCCAGTAGTCCAAAACAAAATGAAAGAATCCTGGAAGATCTTGATCATCAAAACTCACCAAGTACCTCCCATTGTTGCACAAATACATTTCCTTCCTTTAAAGAGGCTTACTTGTTTAAAAGAGACCACCCTGCCTATTTCTCTGCAGAAACCAAAAAGCTAAACCATCTCCTCTGTCTCCGTTTCTTGAGTGTTCCTGGTGACAGGCCACACGGTAACTGAACTAGGGAACTATCAATCATAACTTCAGACTTCTGCCAAACTGTTCAATGAGTTAACCTCTGCAGGCCACTACAACATTTCCGCAAAAGATGGCCAGAAGAAACTTCTCAGAATCCTGAGACCAAAATGATAGAGGCAATTCAGAGTTTCCCAGGGCTTCTGCGCCCTTCAGTCCTAATGCTACTAAGCCTTTGCTTCCCTGGTGCTCTTGCAGGTATAATTTATGTCTCATTCCATTGTCCTTGCAACTATTCAGTTGCTCGGAAATGCTCATTGGCTCTGGATTCTTTTATCTAAAAATGTCTGTGCTTCACTCCAGTTTCTGCCAAATGCATTCCTTCTTGATTCAGTTGGTGGCAGGGACATCTCATTTTTAAAATCCAAAACATCTGGTGGTGGAAAGCGCCATCAAGTCACAGCCGGCTTATGGAGGGCTTTTCGGGCAAGAGACATTCAGAGACCTGTAGGGCTTTTCAGGCAAGAGACATTCAGAGGTGGTTTGCCATTGCTTGCCTCTGTGTCGCGACTCTGGGCTTCCTTGGTGGTCTCCCGTCCAAAGTACTGACCATGGCCAACCCTGCTTGGCTCTGCAATCTGACAGGAGCAGGCTAGACCTGGGCCACCAGGTCAGGTTCAAAAAGATCTAATTTCATTTTTGCTTGATAATCTACTCTGGATATATCATTTCACCAAGAAAGAAAAATCAATTCATTTTTCAAGTGGACCCTCCTCACCACCAGCATCGAAGTCAGTGGTAAAATTATTGATTGTAATATTTTGGATTTCATAATTCAGCAGTTAAGAGCAAAGCTGCTATTCATCTGCTTCTCAGGTTTGAGGGTCTGTATCCTGCTTGTTCAGTAGGTATTCGTGGCAGTCTCCAGTGTTAGGCACAGTGTTCTCAGCTGCCACCCACGGAAGGGAAAAACAGGATATTAGAGATCTGATAGGCCCATTTTAAGGCTATATTCTCTTGCTTCTCCTATAGCAAATAACCATACGTAGGAAAATTCAGGCAAGACATGCTCAGTGGAACTTGAATGAAACACACAAGAAGAAAGCAGGTTATGAAGTAGGAAAGACCTACGGGGAGCATATAAGGAAATCTACCTTGGCCCCACTTCTGAACCAAAGTCATCAAATGGGCATCAAGGGCTGTGTCATAGATCGAGAGTTATCAGGAAAATGGTAAATAAATACATTTACTACTTGGTGTAACTAGACGTGATGAAAAACCAGATCTCAGCTTGCTTTGAGGCTTAGTGAGGGCAGCAAGCCAGGCGTGGCAGCACCATGGTGGCTTTCTCACTGACTGACTGTGTCCAGTCTAAGCACATTCATGATCAACGTTCTCCTGGAAGAAGAGAAATGTAATTTCCACTAACTGGTGCTGACTAGTGTGTATGTGTGGGAGGGGTGAAAGTGCTGCCTCCTTGTTGAAGATCGAGGATGGTCTGGAAGAGAATGTGCATTTCTGCCACCGTTCCCTCCAAGGTCCACAAGCATTTGTAACTATTTCATTAAGAACTTCCTACAAGAGTCATCCGAGGGCAATTCCTATTGTATAGGTGCTTCTAATTTCCTAACCGAGATTGCATATGAATTCCCATTTTGTTTAAAGGAACAGGCGTGGTGCCAGATCCCGGTGTTCCTGCAGAGCACTGGGAGTGGCCCCTGGAGTAGAAATAACACTTGACAGCAAACCATCTCCCGCTCAGAAAAAGCGGGGGTCTCCCTCCCAAAGGGGTGGTATAAGTCTGCAGGCAGGCACGCTCAGAGCTACTTGGTATAGTGAAAGGCAGAAACCATTGCCCTCGGATCCCTCCAGGCTCAATCTCTTCCCCCCTCCCTGCATCTTTGATCTCCTGCCTTGCAACCTAGGGACATGCCCTTGCCTCTGCAGTTTATTAGGTCATGTCGCTGCTGTTTACATGCCTCCCGCACGTTTATCTGGAAACCCATCACACGAAAAGAAAATCACTTTAAAAATAGCCTCTGCTGACCCGCCCAGAGTTGCCGCTCCATTAACGTTGCCAGTTTGAGGCAGGTGTTGGCTGCTGGACCCAGAGTCTCCCACATTTGTACGTTCCGGATCACAGTGCTCTGGAGGCCTTGGGCACGCACCCGGGAAGGGCTTAGCAGAGATCCGGCTCCAGCAGATAAGCTGTCAAGCAAGTTTGCTCTCCCGAGCCTCAGCCGCTTCCCCCACCGACCCCACACCTTCTGCCGTTCACAGTTGCCACCAGTGACATGGTCCTCAGACAGGGCGCAGGTGGAGGAATACACATGCACAAAGCCAGGGTATCTTAAGGAAGCACGGAGGCCTGGTATGATGTTCTGTAGCCCCTGTGAGGCAGTGGCCCCCAGCGCATGAGTAGAGGAGGTGGGACTAACCAGAACACCACGGTAGCTGCCTAGATTGGGATGCGGGCAGCAGAATTATTCAATTAATTTTCTTTGGGGGGGGGAGGAGTTCTATTTTTCATGTGTTTGCATGAGTGTGGGTATGTGTGCACTTGGAAGTCATGGTGACCTCTGATGACTGACCCCTATATTCAGAGAGGTGGCTGAATAAAGGCTGCCCCTTGGTATTCCAAGGAGGTCTCCCATCCAAGTACTTGCTTCCGAGGTCTGACAAGATTGGGCTTGCCTGGGTTACCCAGGTCAGGGCGGCAGCAGAATTATTGTTTCCCATTTCCCCACGTGCACGAGATTCTGGACTGAAGGCTCTGCTATCCTTACCAATCAGTCTAGAATCCATGAAGATCAAGATGGGTAGTCATGTTAGTCTGTTTGTAGGAGTAGAAAAGAGCAGGAATCCAGTAGCACCTTAAAGACTAACAAAATACGTGGCAGGATAGGAGCTTTCGTGAGTCACTGCTCACTTCTTCAGAATCCTTTAGGTATTAATAATTCTGCCTAATGGAAGAGCACTCCAATGCATCTAATGAAGGGAGCTGAGACTCATGAAAGCTTTTACTGGAATATATTGAGTTAGTCTTTGCTAACTTTGCTAGTCTCGAATTGCTGAATAAAAAATGAAAATGAGGGGTAAGTTTAAAAGGAGCTGTGCGAGGTTTAGTTCCCTGCTGGTATTGTCATAGATGCAACGAACATGAAGTTGAGCAAACTTCAGAGGACGGCGGAGGACCGGAAGGCCTGGCGTGATCTGGTCCGTGGGGTCGCGAAGAGTCGGACTCGACTGTGTGACTGAACAGCAACATTGTCTTGAAAGGGGAATCAGAAAGGAGGCAAACGGCAGCACCCCCAGTGCAAAAAAGAGGGGGAGGAAAGGGTTTCAGTGCTGCATGCAAACAAAATAAAGGGGGCGGGGAATTGTCAGCGTGGAATGAAATTGACATGAGATGTAAAGAGAGAGAGGCACTGGGATGGGAAGTCTAAAGTTTTGAAAACATTTTTCCCTTTAATGCTTTAAGGGGGGGACCGTTTGGCAGGCTCCGGAAGCCTAACATTAAAATGGCAGCTAAGCCACATGGACCTTTTGCAAATCGCCAAACTTAAGAATTGCTTGGGATCAATCCATTTGGAGGTCAGAGTGCAATCGGCACAGGACAGGCTTTAAAAAACTGTCAAGATCACAAAGAGGAAACTACGCAAATTTGCAAGGAAGGGCAGGAAATTAGCGTTACTATGCAGCAGCTCTAGGGCATCGGTGAAAATACCTCCCTCATTTTTTTCCCAATGTAGTGGCACAAGACTAAAAAAGCTCTCCAGAGCTTCTGCCAGAGGACTCCTCCCTCATACAAATTGGAAGGTGCTTGCTGGACGCTACTGCACAGCTGCGATAGGCCAATTGTGTAATTTAAAAAACCCCAACCTTTGGATGCCACCCCCCACATGTCACAAGTGATGTTCCACCCCAATTTAGAAAAATGTGATTTTTTAAATTATAGCTGCAGAATAAATACACCAGAGGAAAAAGAATGGGGTGCACGGCAAGCACAGAATCCAAAGTCAAGATTAAAGGCTCACCACTGAAAATCTGCAGTAAGATGTGCGTGCGTAATGGGCCACCTGTGCAAAGAAGCACATAACTGCTGCAGTAAAAAAAAAAAATGGAAGGGACAAACCCAAAGG